GGAAGCCCCTGCCGCAGCACAAGAGCTCACAGCCGTCCATGGCCGGGGATGTCCGGTTGCACTGGCGGCCAGAGGTGCCAAAGACCCCGCGCTGGGGATCCCGGTCGCAGAAGTCTGGGCTGGCCAACAGGTAGACCAGGTCGTGAGCCGTGTAGGGCTTGAAGCGAGAGCTCTTGGTTGGGCACCACTTGCGGGAACCAACCCGCTTGGGGTGAACCTCCGTTGCCCCCTCGAACTTTTCCTTGAGGATGTTGCCCGCCCTGCGGAAGGGGGGCATGACCTTCCAGCATGTGCGCACCTCGCAGGAGCCCGACACACCATGGCACTTGCACTCCACCTTCATGTGGGCCAGGAGAGCCTGGGGAGCAGGAGGCAGCTGCCAGCCAGTCCTGGGACACCCTGCCCTACACTTCCCATGCCTGTGAGCCCCCCAGCAGCCACTGTTCCCCAACACACCTCCCATGGGGCTGGAGGGTAGGATCAGCCGAAGGGAAGGGAAGGGAGCAAAAAAGTCTTTTTAAGCCAAGCCAATATGAAACATAAGGGGATCCACTCTGTGGGAAACAGGCTGGCTTGGGTCTGTAAGAGAAATCCCTGAGGCAGGTGAAGCGACAGGGACCTGCTCTGACCCCACGGGCCATGGGGAGGGGAACAGATCCGCCCAGAGCCAGAGGATGCTCAAGGGACCAGATCTGACAGTGGCCTCTACAGAGGATGGTGTCTTTGCTCAGGAGGGACTGGAGGGGCAGGGAAGGCCTTCAGAGCAGAGCGGGGAAACTCATTTCCTTTGCAGAAAAGGCCAAAGAAGGTAAATCACAGGTGGGCTCACTGAGGAAAAGGAGACTGCGTAGGGGCAGGTAGGGAAGGCTGGGACCCCCCTCTGTGCAGGCGAGGAGCTAGCTCAGTGTGAGCAGCGCAGTGCTGGGCTGAGGAAAGGCAGCAGGATGCAGACCCCCTCTGGGAGCTCATGGCTGCCCCAAATTGCTCCTCAGGGTAAGGGGGCTGCACCGAGCTCCACCCAGCCAGGGAGAAGCCCTGAAGCTGGGCTTGCTTCGCAGCCCCTGTTCCTGCCCTTACCTTCCTCCCAGCCTCGTTGTTGTGCAGGTTCATGAGCGCTCGGCTGGAGAGGATGCCACGGCTCCTCTCAGGGTTGTCTACGAAGGCTTGAGAAAAGGCAATCCCATAAGACAGGTTATCAGAGCAGCCTGACCATTGGAAACCTGCAGCAGGAAAGCAGCCATGAGATGAAGAAGGAGAAGCCCTGGGAGGAGGTCCCAAAGGGCTGAGGGCCATGGACAAGGCAGGTGCCTCCTCCCCCGGTGAGGGTCTCCCCCATGGATCTTCTCCTCTGCCACCCCCTCCCTGCCACCGGCCTCCTCCTTCACCTTCGGGGCTGACTCCTCGGATCTTGCGGTCGCAGCCACACTTCTCCAGCTCCCCACGGCTGCAGGCACGAGTCACAGCAAAGGCAACGCCGGCGGCAGAGATGGCATGGATGAAAGCAGATTCCCGCGTGCCTGCAGTGGGGCGAGAAATGGCACCAGTCTGCAGAGGGGGAAGGCACTGATGGGACAGGGGGGTGGGAAAAGAGGCTATGACTGCATGCAGGAAGGATGCATTCAGGTGGAGACTGCTCAGGAGAAATCACTGTCAGGATGTTCAACCAGTGTTGCTGTTCCTGAGGCCTGGAGCCAGTAAGGGAGATGGCTCTGTGGAGTCCTTCTGGCTGAGCGCCCTCAACTTGGCACCCTCAATTCCTGGGCTGGGTGTCCCACTGAGAGAGAAAACTCAGCAGCCCCCAAGCAAAGTGAAAGGGGAGCTGTGGTGGGGGACACCAGAGGCTGAGCCTCCCACGTAGAGGGGTTTGTCAGGGAAGACCCTGCCACCTTGTCTCTAGGAGCCAGAGACCCTGCTCATAGCTCCCTGTATGGCTCCTCCCATGCCAACACATGCAAAATCTGTTCCGTGCTGTTTTGGGGCAGATCCTTTT